ATCCTCAAATTCCGAATCCCCAAAAGGCAGGCAACGCACTTCTAACGCCTCTGGTGTTCCAGGTGTCCATGGGCGACGCCGATTGCTTACCATCAGGTGATCCGTCTGCTCGTTTACCGGCTTAACTCTTAAAATATGACAACTATTTATATAGTTTTATATAGGCAATATATATATTATATAGTTATACATACATATCTCAAATATTAACTAAACGGGTTTTTTACGCTTTCAAGATGCCTTTAAAACGAATTCTAAAGCTCTTGTAATTTGAACTTACCTACTGTATATGTACTTAATAACCACATCCGCATATAGGTAAGATCCAATTCATTGGAAACATTTTTTTATGCTCAAGTATCTATTGTCCCTAAATAATTACTTATGCTGTAGTTTCTTATTTGAAGTGTTTAGTTAAGTAATTCCGTGATAATTTAGAGGTTACATCATTCGTGGATTTCCCTAATGATAAAACAAAGTTGGGTTAAGAACTCTCTGGTGACTTTTCCCTCGCCCGTTACGGGCGTAAAACGAGTCGTGAAATGTGCTTTAATTATTACATTTTAAGTGTGGGATAGCCATGCTTCGGCAAGAATGGGCCGGCTCGACCGAAGTGATACCACAACTTCACAGAAAACTGACGTGAAGCAACGCTTGCGTTGTGTTTCGTCGTGTGAGTGAGGTTACCGGAGGCCCAATTACTCTCCCCTTCTCCATACTCCCCAATTCCTGAATCCCCAACGATCCTCAAACTCCTAATCCCCAAATGGCCGGTAACGCACTTATAACGCCTCTGGTGTTCCAGGTGTCCATGGGCGACGCCGATTGCTTACCATCAGGTGATCTATCTGCTCGTTTACCGGCTTATGCCATAAAAATAAAAAAAAACATAGGTTCATATCTATATTCTACGAAGACTGCGGGCCCGTAACCGCGTCGGTCGCGAAAGAAAATTGCTTCGTGTACCCTTAGCCTTAGGCTTGAAGTAGCTAGTACGGTTAAAACTTCGGAATCCATCAACCAAATCATTTTTAACTAGGAATCAAACTTTAACCAACAGATGTCGGAATACTGAAACGTTACTCAATTTTAAGTCGCGCTTAAGTTCTGTCACTACAAGTTCTTTATAAAATAAGAGAGAGATGGCACGATATTTAAACACGACTTAAATTGAGAAACGTTTCAGTAGGTATTCCGATAAGACTAAGCTACTTTATACTTAAAAAATACTTTTTATTTTTAAACTCCATGCTACCTACACAACACGCTATTTTGACAACCTTATAACTGAAATGTTCAAATCAATATTTAAACCTAAAGCCATCATTGGCCGTTAAAATTCCTTCCAAATTCAAATAAAATGAATCCAAAGACTGCAATTGCAATGGATGGCTGGAGGCCTGCTCACGCGCAGATTAACATAAATTAGTGCGTAATAATTATTACAGTTTATTACTCAAGTGTCAAACTAGTTTGTATTTCGATATGATATACGCAAAAGTTACTACATGATATTTACGTAGGTAGATAATATACCACGCAACCAAAGTCACGGGAAATATGTAGCTACTTAACCGTAACTTTTTTTTATTAAAACGTTGCTCCACACGAGGATTTTCTCCTGTGTCGTGGGTGCGTTTACAAACATACCAGTTCAGATACACATGACATCCAGTCCCGAAACAACAATTAGTATAACACACAAGAGTCGCTTCATGTGAGAATCGAACCAGCTGCACGTTGTGCGGCAGCCAGTTGCCCAGCCACTGCGCCAACCATGCAGTCAAATTTTGATTGCGTGCTAGAGTATAATAAGTTCTAGAACACTTTTAAAATATGAACAGTAATCTATTACAATTCATCCAACAGCACTCTTAATAATATGTTCTATATATTTGCCCAAAGGAATCAAAATTGATTCAGGCGTTTTAATATTGTTGATTAACAAACATCTTCGCCTACGATATACCTACATAGATCACTACATAAAACTTTAGCATTATAATATTAGTTTAGTCACTTAAATTGCAGCAGAATTTCAATAGAGACCAAAATAAATAATAAAATATACTCGACAAGGAGCAATATTTGTTCAGCATTAGATAAAAAATAATATTCCATCACATCTAGTTAAATACTGCGGTTAATAGTTTTCATAATAGTTGTTTATGCAAGTGCATAATAAATATTGCATTCCAATTAACTGAAAAAATACAGGTTCGAAATTCAAAAGAAAAATTGGCATTAAGTAAGTACTAAAGCACTAAAGAGGTGTGTTAAAACTTGCACCGTTTGACATTTCTGTGACATTTAATAATTCTTTTTTTTTTAAATAGACCTCTATTAAAACCTCATTTCTTATAGGTTTCTTACTATATGACATTCTTTTCTTGACCATCCTTGGCTCAATCCACTACGTACCTACTAAGTAATTTAAAAACATATTTATGTACATTATAAAGACATTATATTGTTTTCCCAAAGCACATAAACCTAGAACGTTGGTTTTTGTATTAATTCTAATTTAATAAATATGCCCTCTTATTATTTATTTTCAATTGATGTTCTTGATTTAGAGGTAGATGTAATGTCAAACAAAGAAATCTATCTCTATACACAATAGGTAATATAAAAATTGTATAAATAAATTCAATAGTGCGTCAATGAATTAAATACATACATAATCCAGATAATTCTCCCATAAATAATTATTAAATAAAACACGTTTTTAAATTACTATCTAAATTACCTATTGTGGTATTAGGTATATTAAGTCAAGTCCCCAAACGCAATAAATAAGGCAAAATACTTATTCAGAATACCTACACATGGACAATATTATTATTATAACTAAAAAGCCATTAATTTTTATATAAAATGAGTATTATTAGTAGATACTAATTTCGCATGGGATAAAAATCTAGATACAGATCTTCAATACGCCTACCTACCTACTGTGGAGATTATGTGCAGTAATGAATTGAATTGAGTAGGTACTTGCCAACTTGTCAAATACAATACTTTTTTCGAACTGTCAAAAACGACAGTTTTTTATGAATTTTGTACGAGATTTAGTATTGTGACGTCACGTTGTTTTAGCATCAATCAGCATACTTTTTTCTTATACATTTGCTGGACAAATACGTACTTATAATTTTTTTGATTAAGGAAAGTACCCAATCAGATACATATTAATACGTAAAATCTTATTTTTCCATAAAAATATTATTAAACCACTTTTTAACTTACCTACGCATAGTTCGAAAAGATTCTCAAAATAATACGTATTACACTCTCTCTTTTACAAATTTTGTGTGGTAACATGATTATTATTGTGCAATAATATTATTGTACATAGCGTCTTCTCATTGTAAGTACATAGATTCCATTATTTCTTGTTTTAATTTGAATCGAAAGGGGTTTTACTGATGCAATTATTTAAAAATTCTGGATTAAGATTTAGATAGCAATAGGTACCTACACTTAACAAAAATTTAATAAATACTTCACAATTTTGCGGAAATAATTCGAAGAAATGTTAAAATAATGACGTAACCACACTTCATTTTTATCATTTTCTACCTCTATATGCATGTGCGTCGTGTCGTCTGCACCTAGGCTTAGACATTATAATAATTTCAAATGCAAATATAGGAACTCCTTCGTAATAATACTAATAATATTATTACTTTACATCTGATGGTCAAACATTGAATAGTTTGCTTCCGAAAGAGAAATCACACCCAAGTTGTGTCATGAAAAGTAAAAGTGGTGCCAACATGCCGATGCTGGCCACTGACAAACCGAAATGCTTTATTTATACATTCTTATGTATAATCATGGTTCCTTACATAACAAGTACGGATAACTGGTTACAATGCCAATAACTGAACTAGTATTTTATCAAGGTTTATGACAAATTATTTTAGTTTTTTACATAAAATTTAATCTTACGCGCTGTCCGGTAAGTAGGCCATATTGTCGCGTATTTTTAATCTTTTTAAACGAACATCTGAAGGTCGTTTTCTTACTTAAAATATGTATTTATAATCGTTTAACGTAATGCCGGTTAATTATAATTAAATTGTCATTGTTATCAATTTTAATTGATTTTGTAAAAGCAAATGAAGGTAAAGGTTTTCATACGTTAATGCACTTTAGGACACAATTATTTGGCATTCCTTTTAATAGGTATCTATCCAATTTATTTACAAGGTATTTTTAAAAACACACAATATTATTAGAAACAATTAAAACTAAGTTTAATATCTGCATAGTTTTATTTAAAAATATCTTTAGCTATATTTTAACAAGTAAGTATTTATGCAAAATATTTATTCATAGATTTTGTAGGCTTACACACTATCTTTATTATATAAACGTTTATACCTACATAACATGCATTATGCATGTGAAATCTTCGGCGAATAATATTTGCATATAAAATAAAAATTTTTAGAACTTAGGAGATTTCGGCCAATTTTGGCAGAACAAGGATATCTATGCCAAAAATAACATTGATATATAGGTTGGTTAAGTACCTAATCCTTGCCATAATAGTGGTAAAAAAACATCAATATAGAACTCCATTTATTTAGAAAAAAATCATTATTCCAAATTTTAATACTCGTGATATAACATTTGTGCTAAATCGAATGAAATAACAACATAACATGAATTAATATTATTATAATCATTTGACAAAATGGTTGGCGGTCATCGTTCGTTCTTGAACGACCAAGGAAATATCATCGAAGGAGTTGTTTTTATCAAATTACCTAAGCATAACACGTTGAGACGAGCACGTCTATCAAGTATGCGAATTTATTCAATATTTTATGAGACTTTGTGCATATGAAATGCAATAATAAGAGAATAGAGTACCTTATTTATAGAAATGCATAAAAAAGTTAGAGCTACTTCCGAATTGAGTAATAATGCCCTTTTTTTAATTATTCCGGTGTTTTTATTAAATATTTAGAAGACAAACAAATACTTACCGACATCTCTTCTTTGAGCATTCGCCAGAATAACCAGAGACATCAATAGAACACTGGGAATGTTTTTACCAAAAAAGAAATTCATTTTTATTTTATTTTTTATAAAAAGTAAATAAATAAATAAACAATACAAAAATGTAACAACACTACTGGAGAGGAATAAAGATTATATAAATACTTAGATTAAATAATTCGTTATCAAATGTTAGGTTAGATTGATCGATATTTATTTCGCGCGGATTTTGTGTGTCGTCGGTCGCGGCGGCGGTGGAAGCGCGTGCGGCTCAGCCTTTGTAAGCTAAACTGAGTGGAGGCTGGGCCGGCGCAGGTGTAAGTATAGAGAAAGAATAAGGCATGTTCATCGCTGTCCGACCGGTCGATGGCACGACCGGGACCGCCCGCTATCATTCGCAAAACAAGTGATTACAGACGTCTAAGTATTTGTTAGAGATACCTAGACACTTTTAGATACATTGAAAGCGTTATACAATAAATGAGCTTTTAGACATTTTATTTTTAATTATATGTTGAATATGCTAATACCGGGTTTGTCCGCCCTCGAATGCACTTAGGTAGGTACTTACGTCTATCTAGGTAAGTAGGTACCTATTAATCTCGAAAACTTGATCGTTCAGTATTTCAGTAATCACGCTTTAACATCGTGGATGATTAAAATTGGCACCTAGATGTGTTATTAATACTTATCTAAATAATTTTATTCGCTGGCTTACTTAGGTACAAATAGGCACGAGACATTCGTGCCTTTTTGTAATTATTTAGAGAAGATATTTAATAAATAAGTATATTACTTAATTCGGAAAATTACGTCACTATTATTGTCATAATTGTGTACTTTCTTTAATCTTATTATTTCGACTGTTCAATACAATAAAATATTAAAAAATAATCACACTTTCAATAATTGATTTTATGACCAACTTGTCGTTTTCGACAGTTCGAATTGCGAAAAAGTATTGAATTTGACAAGTTGGCAATTATCCACTTAGAGCCGCCACTGAACTCCCGCAACCAGAGGAGTCACTATATTTAAAAATAACTGAAAACACAAAGATTCATTGAAAATATCGGTTATTCAGTTCATCTGTCTATTTATAAAGTCTAATAAGCTAACATACCTGCATATTTTACGTCGAGATACATTTATTATAATATTACCTACAATTGCAATTTGTTCTCGTTTCAGTGCTTTTAAACTTGTCTAGTAAGTATAGAGTCTTACACAGGAACTTTAAATGGGGATTTAGGCTTCATTAATTTTTTTACCTGACTTAGGGGCCTACTACCCTTTGAAAAATTTCGGTGGCCGATTGGAGGAAAAGGTTTCGGAATCGAATCCTCGGTCGGGTAAAATATTTTTAAGACTTACTTAACTCATTTTGAGAAATTAGGTACCTACTCAAAGAAAATTTAAAGAGCTTTGATTATTGTTACTTCTTGCGTTACATAGGTATTCGTTGTTCAACAATTAGCGCAATAATTGGATAACCAGTTGCTGTGCAATTGTCGCTGGTTCCTCAGTCCCCGTGCCTTGGTCGAAGACAACGTAGGTAAAGGACGTAAAACCATTTCTACCGGTTGTCATGGGTAGGTACTTGAAAAACGTTTGGGTTAAGGATGTACAGGGCATCAGAGGCCACTTCAGGCGGACCTTCGGAGCTACGGGGCCACTATAGAGTGGGGAATCTAGGTGCCCACCCAGTGGTCTCATAGAAGACGGTGGCATAATGGTCACGTGCTGCCGTACACAGCGAGGCTTAGAGTAGACACCCGACTCCCTAGGGATATGTCGTAACAGGCATTGCATTGTTGGGGTTCCGGAGCAGATCTCTTTTAGAAGACCCGATCTTTTTTAGAAAACCTTCAAATAGCCTTGAGCAGACCGCTTATTTCTTTCTATTACTTTAAACGTAAAATAAATTCGTACTAAGCCCTTTGATAAGGGTTATTGTGACATTTGCAGCTCGTAAGATACTGACATTCTATTAACTAAATCTAGTTAACACTAACTGTTATTTTTCAAGCCCGTCACAGCATCCCAATACTGTAGCAATTCGTTTAAGCCAGGATGTACATTATTTACAACGGGATACAACCATGAACACAATGTAACACAAGTCCAGGGCGTCCGTGTCTGCGTAAGACTAACTTTTAATAAACAAAAATATTGACTCGCTCTACAATTTATTTTTTGAGTCGTGCCTTGTGCGTGGTTGCGTTTACAAACATATTATATTATATCCGACTACGACTACCGAAACATAGTTAAGAATTTAGGACAATGGTGCTGATTAATGCTCTGCTTTTTGCCTCAGAGGTATAAAAGCCATGATAGATACTTTCATTTTTATAACGGGTCTAAAAATAAAAATGGTTCCTAAAAATATTTTTCATTCATAAATAATATATTAACCAGTGCACTCATATTTACAACAATAAAAATAAAATACACTTTTAAGAGCAATAAGAGCCAAAATAGAAGACTCAGTGAGACAGTGAATAATATGCCGCGGTGGTTAAACAAAACGTATCCACAGATAAGAGAAGAAACAATCAAACAAGCTCCTTTTTTGACAATTTTACGAAATCAATATGGCGTCAGTCAACGTCAAGTGAAGAGTGCGGTGTTAAAGTTGGTGGCGTTTTTAAATAAATTTTCCAAAACTATGTCGGGTTTTACGGAAAACGCGTTAATTCGGAAACTCCAAGAACTGAATTCTAGCCAGCAAAGTATTCAAACACTGTCCTTGTGGTTGATCCATCACAGAAAACACCACGCTGTTATTGTGAAAACCTGGTTCAAAGAAATACTAAAAGGTAACCTAGAATTATATTTTCAGTAGCCATTTCAATTTTTTCACGATCAACTAACTTTCAATTCATTATTTTATCGTTGATAAAGGCCTTACATTACGAAATTACAGTCAATTTGGTGCTTCATATCCGGGGCAAACGTCTCGCATTTATTTGTTTTAATATTTTACGACAATTGAATAATCTGGTAGTTTTATTGAAAGCTATAACAGTTGAAAAATGTATTGACTTTCTCACTTTAGCCACGTATCGAGAAACATTAAATATTTGACTTTGCATTGATTATAAATTCCTGTTAAGCATTTCTCATTGTAATTTGATGGGTAAATAATGATGCTAATGGCGGATTCCTATGATAAGACTTTATTTCCAATACAAAATGCTTTAAAATACCTTTACTGGTTGCGTAAAAACATTTTATAAGAAATAAATACTCTGAAACCTTCAAATGACGATAAATTAGCAGTGCATAACATAATTTGTACCTACAAGAAAAAACCACCTGTAGCTTGCAACCTGCTTCCAATGAAACATAAACTATTCATTATCATATCATATTTTGAAATTGAAATTTAAACTCGTAAACGTCAAACCTAAATCACATTTTGTAAAATAATTATAATAATTTCACGCCTTTGAGAGATTCAAATATACAACATAACATCCATGTTGTGTCAGTTATGTTATAAGTCGGCCTTTTGTCTTGCTCCAATCACAACTCCAAATTGTGACTGAGAGTTATGGAAAATCCCCATAATTATTTGACAAACCAGAGAATCAGGGCCTTTAGCCAAACGCTACTTTAGCGCTTGTCTACAGAGAGAGTAGAAATCAAAATGTATGGGGATGACACTGACAAGTGGCAAAATTTATGTCATTTCCACATAATTTGGTTTTCTACAAGTAGACAAGCGCTAAATGGCAGTTGGCTACAGCTGCTGAATCTGAAACACAGGGGCTACTCATTCTACAAAGCAATTATTCTAATTGTAAACATTTTATTATCCCTTTTAGTGAACATTTAAACAATAATGTTTATTGAGGCCTATGCCACAAAAAAGTAAACAACAAACATCTTCAAAACTATAAATTCTTCACCATAGAGTTTTTTCTTTACAGCAAAAGACAGCAAGCAACTTACATTTATGTATCTTGCTAATGATGTGATTCAAAATAGCAAAAAGAAAGGTCCGGAATATGGCAAAGAGTTTGGAGAAGTGCTGGTGGAATCATTCAAACACATGGCTAAGACTGGTATAAACACAAAGACTAAACACTCCTTGCACAGAATACTCAGCATTTGGGAGGAAAGAGGAGTCTATGACTCGCAAAAGATACAAGAGTTCAAAGAGGCTGGTTAGTTTACATCTTTTGTATTCTACCTTGCATGATACTTCCTTTCAGTTAAAAGATAATTCCATACTGTTGTTATATATTATCAGCCTGTATAAGAGTGAAAAACTAAAAAAAGTATCTCATAAATTCTTAAGCTCTATTTTAAATTACATTTAAATTCTTAAAAATCTTTGTTTAATTGAGTAAAAGCTTGTTTTATCTATAAGAAACATCATAAATATTTTCGTTAAGAGTATTTTTTTCTGTGATATGCAGTATGTGTTTCACATTATGACATGTTTCAAATTCAATTGATGTTTTGTATCAGTGTGACAAATTGTTTAATTAACAGATTTTCTTTCTATACATATAGTCAATTTGCACTTTTCCAAAGGTTTTACATGTGTAGAATGGTATAGATATAAATACATTTGTGTTTATTTAACACCAATTTAATCAAGATTTTACTTTTAACATTTCAGTTGATCCTAATGATGCATTACCTAAAAAAGTAAGCAAACGCAAGTCTGTGGATGTAGAAGTTGTCAAAACGCCGGAGAAGAAGGCTAAAGTAGAGGGGCGCTCGAAGCAGGAACGTCGCCGCAGTGAGACCAAGGAGGTAGATGGACATCTGGAGACACACACTACGCTCAGCCCCAAGACTCCACCTGGAGACCCTCCAGAACCCGAGGAGCTCATCAAGGTAAACATACTTATTCATCATCATCAACAGCCTATTAATGCCCACTGCTGAGCAAAGCCTCTTCTCATAAGGAGAAGGTTTGAGCATTAATCACCACGCTTGCTCAATGCGGGTTGGCAAATACAGACTTATAATCAAAAATTATAAGCCCAGGTTTCCTCGCGATATTTTCCTTCACTGTTAGTCAGTGGTGTCTAGATAATCTTACATATAATAGAGAAAGTACATATAACTCGGAAAAGTGTTATTGGTACTTGCCGTTGGTAGGTTTCAAACCCACACCCTCATGCATGAGAAGCGGGCCTCTTAAACCTCCAGGCCACCATGACATACACATACTTATTATTTACTGCTTAGTGTAGCAAAGCACATCAAACACTTCAAACAGTAATTTCATTTCATTTTTTTTGTCATTTTTCTCCATTGCCAAGTATTTTTATATTGGTTATTGTCTGCATTCAGAGTGCCAAGCACGAATAACTATCGCATTCGTAACGTAATAGTATCGAGCGCGTTCGGCGCTCTGATTGGCCGACTCAAGTGAACCAACCAATCAGAACGCTTAACTTGGTTCATCAGAGCGCCGAACGCGCTCGATACTATTACGTTACGAATGCGTTAGTTATTCGTGCTTGGCACTCTGGTCGACATTCTGTTCTCTTATTTGATACATATTTTATATTTATAACACTTCATGTGAAACATTCATCTAATTATTCACATGTATGTTAAACTTAATTAGAATACACCAATATAACTGTATAGATAATTAATTAAGTAATACATTTTAAAAACTAGTTTGAAGCAATATTTTTAACATGGAACATTATATATTCCAGGCGCTGTTGGAGTTAGAGGCTAGTGCGTCTAGTGACGAAGCAGTCAGGGAGAGGATCGCGTCACTTCCGCCAGAAGTGTCGGAAGTGCAATTATTGTCTAAGTTAGAAGGTAAAATGACTCCATACCATCGCATCAACTTGGTTATTACACTTGTAAACCGCTTGATTACTTTGCAAAGATGGTTGAAAACATATAAGAGAAATGAGGAACTATTAAAGATTTTGAAACATTGTGATTGCAAACATAAATGACGATAGTTTCTCTTTTTTCTTTTCATTAATTAAATAGTCTAACATTATGTTTGCATTACTTTTTCTGACGATATTATTATTATTATTTTGTAAATATAATTAAATATTTTCGCCAGAATTGTTCTTTAAGACTGATCTAGTTGTAAGCATTGACTGTGATCACAAGTTTAAAAGAATTTATTTCGTGCAAAATATATTGTGTTTCATTTTTAAGTGGTGTAACATTGTGATTATGTGTAACAAATGTGATTGTAACAAATTATTTCATTTTATGTTAATAAAGAGACTGATGATATACCCTGTGTATTTCACTTATTTATTAAAATGCCCAAATTGGTAACATTAATAATATACAAGTAAACACAATGTCAATAACTTCCCTTTTCATATTTTACTATGTAATGTCCGGAGAATGTAATAAAATCTCCTACTAGCGAAATTGTGCTTTATGTCTGTGATATTTAGTGTGCACAGTAGACTACACAGTCAATGCAGGTAGTTCAACTAAATATCAAATAATAATGTTTGTTTTTCGATAAACAATCAATGTATGAAAATACTTAGTAACCGGTTTGGATAACCTGTTTAACTTTAGATTTGTTTATAGAATAATAGAATTTTGACTCATATGAAGCTCATGAACCTTTGTCACAATTCTATAAATCAAAAATGAAAAGGTAAACAAATCTAAAATTGGACAGCTTATTTGAAACCGGACATATTTGTGTTTATACATAGTTGTACAGTGAGTTACAATACATATTTGTCAGTATTCTCTATCTAGTAAAGTTTATTAATTGTAACACAAGGTAAACAGAATCACACTATTGTAGTTTCCAATTCAGTTTAGGTACGGGAACAAAATAATTATAGATGACAATTGGTGGTTGTACTAGGCAGTTGAGGCGGTTTAAAAAGGGTTGGAGCGGTGAACTCCCAGAAATTGGTATAAAAATTTAAAAAACTGGAACATACTTTTTCTGTGCATATATATGCACAGAAGAAGTTTATTCATTTATTGAACAATTTTTTTTGTATTATTTTGTTAACGTTTACCTCATCAGCAGTTCATAAACCGAGTGACCTGGAAATTGTGACATGAAAACATGCTAATACAACCCGTCTCCTTATAGATAAGGAGTCCGCCCTAAGTCTGAGTGCCGTGGTAAACTCTGCCGCGGAACTACTGGCGGAGTATAACCTGAGGCTCAGCGAGGAGATGGACAAGCGACGCAAAATGGCCGCTATGTTGCGGGACTTCGCCCAAGCCCAGCGAGACCTCGCCAAACAGGCTGAAGCTAGATTAGAGGTACCTATTTTACCGCTTTTTATTATTCGACTCTACTACTTCGTTGACTGACTGGTTCGTAGTGCGACTGCTGGGCAACGGGTCTCGGGTTCGATTCCCGAGTCGGGCAAAGTTTTACTGGGTTTTTCTAAAATTCTCAGTAGTAGCACGGAGCCTGGAATTGTATCTGGTAATAGGCACCGACTATTACATGGGACTGAGAACATAAATAGTGAAAAGTGGGTGTTACATTGTACAGTGGCATTAAGTGCCGTAATGTGCAACTCTCGGGGATGTGCACTTCCCCCCCTTCCTCCTTCGGGGATAAAAGTTGTGGTAACACCACAACTTGTTATGTAAATATAATTCAACTGTTTTAATTCATTCAATAGGTATGTATTAATTCAATTTTATGCCTATATGATGACAAGCATGTATTTGATTAACATGAAAGCTATAGAAAATAATCTGTAGTTTTATCTCTATCCCTATGGAAGAAATGCAGGATTGTACCTAATTATGATAAACTAATTTTTTACAGTCTGTACTTCAAAAAATTGTGTTCAAAAACTTTTCTAGTTAAACCTACTTTATTGTTATCTCCTTTCATAAAAAAGTAACTGATACGTTTGTTAGCGCTTCCGAGAATTAAACAGTGTAGCCCTGGTTCTTGTACTAGCCATCCCTGTATCACAAGAGGTCTCTCAATATACAAGGAAACATTGCACCATGTGATAATAGACATGACAAATAATTACTTAAAATACAATACGAATAAATTCAAAGTTGAACAAAACGAAAAGCAATGCTTTGGTTCATATAAAACCATTAACTTAAATTAATCCAACTATATTCTCGTTCCAGGAATACAACATCAAACTTCAGAAGATATATGCAGTGAAAGCTGAAGTGAAATCTCACATAGAGAATTTGCCCGACGTATCCCGACTGCCTGACGTGACAGGCGGCCTGGCCCCGCTGCCGTCAGCTGGTGACTTGTTCAGTCTCTGAGGAATACTCCCCACCACACCACACAGACGACGTAAATTACACTCAGTTTGCCCCATTAATTAATTTTAATGTTAATTTTATTTTATTTAGCCAACTAAAGTGCCTTTTACATTTACCTTGTGTAGAGGCTGTATATTATAGGGTCAGTGTGTCAGGTGTGTTAAAATATCTATTTTAAATTAGTAGCACGTCTACATCTGGCTAATGAGCCGCGTGCGAGCATATCACGGTGTACAGTCATGGTACAGTCGAAGTCAGTCGTCTAGCAATCTCACAAAATGGCATAGCAATATTAGTTGTACTTATGACCGTCTTATATGCGTGTGTTCTGTACACACAGGCCGTACGGTGCGGGCAATATTGGTCATTGCGGTGTAAGTGGACTTGTGACAGTTGACCGTACATTACGCCCGCTCGCGCAGTCACCAAGATTTGGACGCAACACGCAATAAATTCCTTATGTCAAAGTCAAAACGATTTATGTCAATTTGACAAGAGGTTCCCAACCTTTCTTGGTCAAGGATCACTTTTTAGTATATTTTGTAATGTTCTTCGTTGAAACACATGGACTACATGGTCTGGACCAAGACTTTCTCCAGAGTCGTTAGGCTCCTTCTCATAAAAAAAGTGACTTTTCGTTTATTGAAATCAGTTTATCCTCTTAGTTGTCTTCTTCGACATAGCTTTAACCGTCGTATTTATTTGAAACACAAGACAACGCCTCCGTCTTGTACTTTTTTATTATATCGCGGACCATATTTCTTCCTCTGCGAACCACTCGTAGTCCACCGGTTGGGAACCACTAATTAGACCAACTGACTAAGGAGGCATTTTTGAACATTATAAGATACAAAGTGGCAGCCAAACTTAATCGATTCAAACGTTGTCATCTTCAGTCTCATAAAACTAAAATCGACTTTACAGTTAAGCTTTCACGTTTCATTATCGGGTGTAATTAAAAATATCACTTCGTACACACGGCCAGATAATAGGTACATAAGTCGTGGTGGCCCGGAGGTTTATTTTTTTTTATCTGTACCAGGCAACGAATATTGCCTGATACAAATAAATGTTTAAGACACCCGTTCTCATGCATAAGGGTGCGGGTTCCAAACCTACCAACGACAAGTACCAATGTGACTTTTACCAAGTTATATGTACTTTCGAAAATTATTTAGACATCACTGACAAACGGTGAAGGAAAAACATCGTGAGGAAACATGGGCTTATAATTTCTAATTATAAGTTTGAAATTGCCAACCCGCATTGAGCAAGCGTGGTGATTAATGCTCAAACCTTCTCCGCGTGAGAAGAGGCCTTTGGTCTGCTGTGGCTACTTATAGGCTGTTGATGTGTTGTGATATACGGCCAGACTTCAATCGATTCATAACTAGGTTATCATGGTCTTGATTTGTTTGACCTTCCCTCACATTCAACGATCAGTTTATACTGGTTGGCATAGCTTCATGTGTTGCTGTGTGTCCAATACATTGCTCCTTTAAAATACACTTACAACTGTATACTTACACAAATAGTCGGAAATAACGTATTTTAGCTCACTAGATGGCGCCAGTTTGACAATCGAAATCGTCCAATAGGGACTTGGCTAGAGTCACACCATTGGACATTCATACTTTTACAGCTGCTGTGATTGAACAAAAAACCTTCCTACATTATGCCCTCTGGTGAGGAAAACAATCCTCATTAATTTCACTTGCTTTATCTTATACATGTTTTTGTTCTCGGAAAGTTATTTCATTTTCATTCTTTCAAGTTACCTAAGGTAATTTCACCGTCCCTACTTTTACAATGGCAGAAAATAAATCTTCTGTTCTCATAGTTTTTTGAATATGCTAACTTTATAAGTGGACTGTGTGATGTGTAAACAGAATATATGACAAATTGTTACTGGATTGGTCCCTAGCACTACAGTTATTATGACAGAATTCGTGAACTTTATTAATTCATTTTCAACCTTATAGTACTGTTATAAAAAGGTTGCAAATTTAAAGGGACCGAATCTTGTCGTTGGCAATAAATCGCTCATAAGCCACGGTAACCACTTACCATTTGGTGGGCCGTGAGATTATTTTGCCACCGTCGTGGTATATAAAAAAATCGTGTTATTTGTGATTGATTATGAATTGTTTCTTCAAAAAGGTTTTAATGACGGATTGATCAACAAAAAATATGTTGGGTGACAAAACAAATAACTGTACAGATAGAACCTTTAATAAATTAAACAATGTCGCGGAATTTTATTCTATTTGTTGACCCATTTTCCACTTGATCTAAGTCTCTATTTAAAACTGTTAAGCTCGGTTTCACCAACCTCCTAAATTTTAAAGAATCCCCTAAGCTGATATATCAGTGTCACATACAGTATAAGTAAGGAGTTCGTTTAGATGCTACGTTTCGCTAAGTAATTTTTACTTAAGAGATGGTTTAGCGGCGGTTGGTAAACAAGGCCATTAATGTTTTATCCTTCCTGATATTTTAAAACATATACATCTTTCTTGATTGTTAGTCTTGCCTCTTAATATTCTATAATAACGTAATTCAAAGTATGATAACAGAATTAATAGACTTACACACAAAATGGTGTAATGGAATCATTATGCACGCTGCATGTGTGATTCTTTTGTGTGGAATGTACACATACGTTTTTGTCTGAACGAAAATCAACCTTATTGCTACGACGTAAGACTGTTGGTGGGGCGTTTTACATTGTTATTCACGATGCTGTTGAATATTGCTTTAAGATTAGGTAGATACTTGTATTAAAACATTTTTAACAACTTCTAAAAAGGCTCAGTAAGTAGACACCAATGGCCTAATTTTGCAGCAAGATAATCGATTTAGCCTATCCATATCAACCCTGATTCACCCACTGCTGGGTATATGCCTCTCTCATTTTCCGCCATACTTCTCGGTTTTATGCGTCTCTCATCAATCGATTTTTTGGTTTTGACGATATCATCCACCCAACCCATTTTGGACTACCTTAGTCCAATCGATATACAGTAGTCAAAATAATATTTTTTTGCCTAAGAAGTTGCCTACAAACCGGCGCCACTGTCGAGTATGATCCTGTATAAGTTCTATAAATTTTAATGCTCTCAAAAGTTACTAGTTATAGTCGTATAAACTGTTGGTGACTTAGATCTTACTCTACATTTGCGCTCCTACTGGCAAATTAAGGCATAAAAACTATTATTTTGTACGAACTTGACTTTGCAGAGAAACTGCAAAGCAGTGCAAAACCCTTTGTTTAATCACAAATACACATATTTTACTCAATTTTATAATATTTAAAGCCAATTAAGCTCTTCTACCCTCTTATTATAACTCTTGTATCCAGCGCAATAAGATCCTATTTAGTTAATCCAGTTTAGATTTATACCCGAAGTTAAGCAATATGGTCACCCCTCTTACGTAGGATTGACAACAATAAAGGCGAGAAGTTGGTCTACTATACCATCCCTCGCCGACTTGATTATAATAGTAATCATTATTGACTATTATTTCAATACAATTATACAACTATGTACACATTATATCATTGATAGTCTAGCAATAATTATTTTGCTCAGAAATGAAGAGTGCGTTGAATATTGTAAGCTAGAATAACATGCTTTGTAATACTTCAATGACTAGTCAAAAGATATTTAAAAATCTATGATAACTTGGCCATTATTAATATAGATCATAGTTATGTAATAGGGTGCCTAATTTTTATTTCAATGTCCGACTGGTAGATTATTTTAAATCATTAAATACGTATTTTTTGATTTTCGTACAGAAACGAATACTTTCGACGATATGTTGATTTGAAATGTCGCGTGACGTCACTTCTATGTACATTTTATACGTAGAAATTACGTTTTAGCCCCCACTCTTTAAACTTTGATTCGTTTTATCTACGTATTGTTTTATTATGCGACGAAATAAAAATACGTGTCTAATATTTTTTAATTACCTTACGGACTAATTAGATTTTTAATTTTCATACCCTGTCATCATCCCAATTGGAAAGCTGTCTTTCAAAACTGTTTTTGATGAATATACTAAAAATTATAATATGCTGACTTCAGTACATTTTCAATGGTTATAAAGTATAAAAAAAATCCGGTACAATGGGGCTACTGTCCATCAGGTGGCGTTAGTTCTAACAACTCGATCATTATCCAATAGGGCAATAGCTAATGTCACATTATTGGACGTTAAATATTTGACAGATTCATTGATTGGATTAAAAAAGCTCTTACTACATTTGCACAACAGTAGCCCCCATTGTTTTAACTTACGTAATTAATTATAAGAACATTAATACTTATTACCTAATGTAAAACGTTTTTATATACACTATAAAGGCACGGGCCCACCGCGTCGCATTATAGCTGCGTGTATTTGTTTGACAACGTGGGTCTACGTTTCCACTGGAGTACACGAATATGACCCACGACTATGTACAGCTCACTTATCGTAGCGCAGTTTTCAGTCAAGTAAACACCACTTACTCTTCCAAAGCGAAGCTTAACACACGTACTTAGCCGCTCCGTGCACCGCGGTGAGCCCGCCCCTTAATGTATAACTTATCTATGTATATTGCACTACTAGTACTTACTATGTCGTCTAATAGATTTGATGCATATTCTACAGCAACACATTAGTTATGTATACCATTGATTATGGTCCTTATTTTGTTAGCAGTAAAGTTTGTTTTAGTATTAACGGATTATTGTCTAAGTTTGTTCTAAAAAGATGGCAAAGCGTTATAGTAACATTACTTTAATTCTTTTGACTAGTGATTGGAAATTAAACGTCGTTTGAAATCCATTTTCAAACTGGAAACTTACTATTGGAACGTCACGTAAAATAAAGTGGGCCTATCACGTTACGGCAGCTTACAAAGTAACCAATCAGCGTGCGTTACGGTCGTTCTAATAGTATAGACTTCGGTCAATAAAATTCAATGAAGAATGTGATTAACTTTTGACTGCCGCGGTTAGCTATAGCCGACAAGCTAAATGTACTTAAAAGATCATGTTTTCTTGTCGCCTGTGGCAGACTGTGATGGATCACGTCATATTTTGTTTTTCGGCTATAGCCGACCGTGGCGTTTAAAAGGTTAAATTTATGTTCTAGGTTTTATCAAGTTTGTAAACCAAATAATAGCGTAATTTGGTGCGATTAGTTAATTTATTTAGCTCCACGAATCCACTGTGTATAGCTAGACATTATAGACTTAAATGAATTATAGAATTTGTTATATTAACAATTATGGTCGTTTATTTTATAACTTACACCCCCACTCTAAGTACCCTAATGAATTTTTGCTTCAAAAAAAGATTATTTGCGAAGTGCAAGATACATGAAAATAAATACAAAGGTTGTAATTTAAGTGGTTAACCCCCTTATTTAAGTGAGGTGTCACTCCACAGGTTTCACCTCACCGGTGCCAGCAGCGATTGTAAAATAAAAGTGGTTTAGGAAATTAATATTGATTTAATACTCTTTGGCAGGGCCGCGCCGCCCCTGTGTGCGAAGTGTGCGGCGCACACAGGCGCCAAGACAATAGGAGCGCCGTGTCGCGCCACCACCTCTACTTGAATTATTTTTGTTACCTTAATTATTATATTTTTGGTAGTAGAGTATCGATAAGTAAGTAGGTACAATAGGCGCAACATAGGCCTTGTATACAACAAAACTTATATTACGCTTATTAAACAAGTCTCTCAATACATATTTATGTTTATTATTAATCACCTTTATGGTTTCATTTTACACTTAGGGTTTTAGTTTACATTACTTACGAGTTACAAGATCAACGTTAAAACGGCGGCAGATCTTTTGAACCACAGATAAAGTAGGTACCTACTAGTTATATTGAATCATAAAGGCGCCGACTTTGTATGATTAAGTATGAGTGAGTTTGTGAACGCAACCCGATGCGATGCGTGCGAGGCTATAGGAGTAGGGTCACAGGGATTCCCCGATTTTAACGAACGAGAGAGTCAAGCTAAAACAAAACAATTGAACAATCATTTGATTGAAAGTGTGTGTAAGGTGCGCATTGAACTTTTTACTGACTTTAAAAAAAGGAGGAGGTACGTATGTTCGGCTGATTGTTTTTTTTTTTCAGTACTCCGCCATATGTGAACCGATTTCGAAAATTCTTGTTTTGTTTGAAAGGGTATACTCCCGAGATGGTCCCATTTCCATGAGGTCAGGATCTGATGATGGGACCCAAGGGAAACCAAGGGGAACTTTTGAAAATTCTATGGGCGAGTACTAAATTAATCAAGCCCAAGCATAGGGTAGTTAATAAAAACAGCTGAGGAGTTCTCTCGATTTTCTGTCGGCTCCATCATCAGGTCGACTCCAGACCGTTATCTAATTGTAGTGTATAAAAATCGTAATTGTGAAACATAATAGACCCATTACTCGCCCCTAAAATTTTCGAAAGTTCTCCTCGGTTCCTCTCGGTTTCCCTAGGATCCCATCATTAGATTCTGAGCTCATGGAAATGGGACCATTACGAGAGTATACCCTTTTAAACAAAATAAGATTTTTGGAAATCGGTGTACAAATGGCGGAGTAATGTGCGAACAAACAAAAAAAATCAATCAGCCGAACATAGCACCTCCTGCTTTTTTGAAGTCGGTAAAAAAGAGGCGCTCCATCGATTCCGCACACAGGCGCTGCCGGGGGTCGGCGCGGCCCTGCTCTTTGGTGTTTTGTAAGTAAAACCTCATTAAAAACTATACCCTTTGTCAAGGTCTTTGACACGATGTCAGTATATTTTGACAAATGTTTATAACCAAGAATAAGATATTATTTTCTACAATTATTAATTTATTTATTTAAATATAATTTCATTTCAAAATGAGTGAAACCATGGCAAGTGTTGCTTGAATTAAATATATAATTTGTTATAGAAACACATTAAATTAATAATCAATATATTTATTTCCTATTCCAGAGCACTCGTTCTAAAACTATGACGGAGTCTATTGATTCTGAATCTACAGAAAGTTCACTGGTAACGTATACATTAATTGTACCTATTTAGTTCCCATAGAAAAACAGCCATTAAGACGGAAAATAAGCAGAAGGATCACCTGATGGTACCTAAGCAATTGATCTGTGGACATTCGCAACACTCGTGGGTGCCAGTTCTTGGCTATATGATATAAAAAACCTCCGAAGCAGTCATTCAAATCATCACTAGGCACATACTCCTGTCCATTCAGGTCTACGATCGCTGGACGAACAACATAAGCTACCGTCAGCTGGTGGTGTCGGCCTGCATCGGTATCTTTCAAGTATGGTGGCACCCATACATTCACGACTTCCGAAGGTTGCTGCCCTTTATCTTCCTTTACAATATCTTCAGCGTACTGATTGGGTATCCACTGTTTTACCTGGAGCTTGCACTGGGAGTGGCCACCAAGAAGAGTGTGCTCAACTGCTGGGATATAGCGCCGATGTCACGAGGTACGAAGAAGACTATTATAGTTAGGTGTTGGCTTAAAGAAGCTTGCTATTGTTCACTTTCGTTTAGTATTTGGGCCACAATAAACTGAGTGCAAAGATTGATTGCATCTACTCTATCAGTAGGTATTAAAGAGCTTTGATGCTGACGAAACCAGGGTCGGTGGATGGATACGAAATGCGGCACTGAGAGAAAAAAGAATCAGCAAATCTATCGTTTGGTGTTACTTACAGTGTTTTAATAGATTCATATTTGTTTAAAACACTTATTTGACTAAGGAACCCCAATCCCAAGTTTAACCATTCTCAAGATCGGCTTTTAAATTACTTTTATAAAAAAACAGATTTTGTGTCGATTACAATAAATAAAATAACTTAATAAATCCTTATTTGATAATTCCTTTGGTCTCTGTGCGACTCCTTAGGCATAGGTTTCGCGATGCTATCCACGTGCGTGTTCAGTGCGCTAGCGACGGGTGGGGTGGGGGCGTGGTGCCTGGCGCTGACGGTGCACTCGGTCCATACATTCCTGCCGTGGCTGCACTGCGCTGCAGACTCGCAGCCACCCTGCGCGGCGCGGCACCGCCCGCTGCCAGCAGGGAGTGAAACACCCCCGCAGTCCTTCTTTTAGTTAGTTTACACATTTTTAATAGTTATGATGAAGAGTAATTTTGGTTTAAAGTAACTGCTTACATCGTAATTAAGGTGTTCTATAATTCATCCTCGGTTTGCAAAAAATGGCATTTTGTGACTCGACGCCATTCAGATTGGATGGTCTGTAAAAACCTCGATCAGGGGGCTTAATCTTGAATCCAATTCCGATAGATCGACATTGGTATTGTAAAATTTCGTACTCTTGAGTTGCAACACTAGCGCCCATTGTATGCGTATTCCGAGAATATTGAATTAACTAAATGATATTTAAGTTTGGTGGTTTTAGTTTGGCTTTATATTCCGTACTCTGAATGCTTTTTCAACAGTTACGATAGGGGTTGTATAGTTTTGACATTGAATAATTATTGAGATTTTATTGGATTGAAATTGCATTGACATTGGTTTTAAGAGTAATCACCCAGGTTGAGTAATTGTCAGTGGTCTGCGTTGCTGCATGATGATGCATTAAGTAATAACTAGTAAATTTACCAGAAATTACCCAGGTAACATTATTTTCGGAATAGAATAAAAAAGTGACTCATAATTATAGTAACTTCGTGTTGGACCTGAAGCGTGATGGGTTGGTGGGAGGTCTGGGCAACGTGGTATGGGAGCTACTGATCTACTACGTGATATGCTGGATACTCATCTACTTCATAGTCATCAAACGGATGTACAGCTTCTCAAAAGTAAGTTTTAATATTTGATGAAATCATTCATACTGTTGTCCTCTACTACAAGTTCCCGAATTATGTGGGGTGATGATAAATCTTTTTGATTCTGACTATCATGCATTGTAGATAATAAGATTAACGTTCGAAAAGCTATAGATAAAATTAGGATCGATCTACATAAAGAAGATCGTGTCCACCGTCTACTCAAGCTACGTACTTACAATATAAGCAAAAAATTGATCACCTAATAAATATAAGTCGATTCTCAAAGTTATGATAAATGATCTTGCGCGTTTTTTTAATGGGACAAGCCGACCGCAACCTCTTTATCGCATTACGGAAATTAAAGCTAGTCGACAAACATTGTGTCAGACTCCCTTTGCCGCAAACTCTAGGGTAGTATTGCGCTGATTGCGCATGCAACCACGTTATGCAACCCTAGATTTTAGACTCCTGCATAAGACTAAGGCGTTGTAGGTAAATATGGTCTATTCGAGGTGTAATAAAATGGTAATTCTTTTTTCATTGTCTCGTAGTTGGTGATGTTCAAAGACGTGTTGACGTACTTCGTGCTGGTGTGCGTGGGTGTGGGCGCAGTGCAGCTCAAAGGAGCCACGCGCATGTTCAAAGACTGCGACTGGAGCGTGCTATTTGAGAGCTTAGAGGTAAGGAGAACCTAACGGGTAACCGGGGCTCCGGCTCGATGTGCAGGAGAAGGAACGGGATGGTTTTTCAGTCAGTAAGAGTCTGACACTCCCTCCCGCCTCACCCAGGCGGGAGCAGCCATTCGATGATTTCCCCCCCCTTAAAAACAAAGAGGTAAGGAAATAGAAGTGAGAGTCGTAAATCAGAAAGTTCTTTTTAAAGTTCTTGACAAACGATTATGAATGGAGTTCAGTTCAACTATTTTAAAGCCATTGAATAAAACGGGAGTAGTTTTGCATTGAGTTAATAAGCCTAAAATGTTAATTAAATATTTTAGATATGGCGTGAAGCGATGGAATACTCGTTGATAGAGATGACAGTGTGCCAAGGTTCTCTGATAATGCTGGGCTCGTACTGCCCCAAGGTGCAGCACAAACTTGGTACCACGGCAATGCTTGCGTTCGCCGTCTCTAAGTCCAGTTGTATGACAGCCGCACTTGTACTCGGAGCTACGCACGGAGCTTTGTATAAAGACTACGAGAATTCCACTAATATTTGGCCGGGTAAGACATTCTCAAGAATTTGTTTATTATATAGACAAGACCGTCTTAGATTATACCTACTGGGGAACGTTGCCTTACACTACGATTTGCTCCGTGCGGGAACCGAACCTGCTACACGTTACGTGTACGGTTCTTCGGGGCCCGCTGGAGATGGGGGCCTGCACGGGCCCCGAGTGGCCTTATGGTAAAGACGGTGTCGCGGAGAACCTAAAGGGTAACCGGGGCTCCGGCTCGACGTGCAGGAGAAGAAACGGGGTGGTTTTTAGTCAGTAAGAGTCTGACACTCCCTCCCGCCTCACCCAGGCGGGGGTAGTGATTCGATGATTTTCCCCCCTTAAAAAAAATGGTAAAGACGGTACTGTAAGTAGGAAATCCGTAGGGTTGACGAATACCTTCATATCTGGTGGTGGTTATCGTGCAATAAACGCAAAAGATACGATACGATACAGTAAGGTAAATATGTAGGTACTTGGCTAGATCACACTTTAATTTAAACATTAGGTTTACTATATTATATTCTATGACACGGATGTATACGATCTATGATTACCAACAATCGAAAGTCAAGTTCGAATCGAAAGTTCCTGCAAATTTTTAATCGACTTTAAAAAGGAGGAGGTCCATAATTCTTTTTTTGTTAATGTTTTGATACATTGTCTAACTTACTGCACGCAGGCGCGTCGTCGTCGATGATTCTGTGGTCGGACTACGTGGCGCGTATACCCGGCAGTCAGTTCTGGTCTGCTCTTATATTCTTCACACTGTTCGTCTTAGCACTTACTACAACGGTAAGTTGCAACATAAGATAACGTCTTTTATCCCCAAAAGGGTAGGCAGAGGTGCACATTACGGCACTTAAATGCCACTTTACAATGTAACACCCACTTTTCACTATTTATGTTATGAGTGCAATTAAAGGGGGTGAGCCTATTGCTATAAACCGGGCACAATTCCAGACTTCGTGCTACCACTGAGCATTTTCAAAAACCCAGTAATACTTTGCCCGACCTGGGAATCGAACCCGAGGCAGTTGAGCGGCAGTCGCATTTGCGACCGAACGACTCGGCTAACGAGGCAGTCCTGGCAGGCAGGCTGCTTGACTAGTCTCCAGCCACGAGAAGGGCCCATAGATCATTTTTACGGCCGGGCCGGGCAGTCACACTCACATTTATTATAATAGTCCACCTCGTCTTGTATAGTCCGCCACCGTTTAGCTTAAGAAGTCGGTTGAAAATATGATGATAGTGACATTGTTTTAAATGCAGGCGCTGTCGGTACAAACAATAATGTCAGCGTTCACCGGGCACTCGATCAGGAAGATCACGTGGGCCTTCCTCATACTGATCTGTCTGCTCTTCTGCTTGATCGGAACCATAACTCTGTGTACACAGGTAACATTGTTTGAAGATAGCCTCTAATTTTACACGAGAGCAATATTAATTTTAGTTCAGTGTGTGTTGCAATGTGACGTAACGTTACGTAGTACCTAATACAAAAAGTTTCTCGTATTGTGTGTTTATCAGTCTTAAAATTCATCCTTCGGGATTAACCAAGACAGCTAATGTTATTTTGGAATATATGTAGGTGGTAGGCTTATAAGCTATCTTTCCATGTTCCAGGGTGGTTTGTACGTAGTGAACTTCTTAATTAACTGGCCGGCATCGAAGCCTCGGGTGCCTGTCGCAGCATTAATCGCTACTGTAGTCACCTACGTGTACGGACAGACCACTTTCTGTGAAGATGTCTACTTGGCAATCGGCGAATATCCCAGTGTGTTCATGAGGATCTGTTGGGCACTCTCGCCCGCCCTAATGATGGTAAACATGTTTCCTCGATAATTTTAATGAAATTAAGAAGTAATGGAGATGTTTTGTATTGCTATTTATTTGTAACTGTTTATTTTTATAAATGCTTTTTTCTTGACTTTGTAAAGGTATATAAGTTTCTACAAATAAAATGAAAAGCCTTTATCGCAGTTCATTTCTTTTTATTTAACTTTATAGCACCTCAGGCTCTCGATTCTAGTAAGTGTTCAATAATCGACTAAATGGAAGATTTTCATTCGGTTGTCCTTTATTATTATGATATCTAAGGCCTACATGGGCCCGCTGGTTTTCTAAACTTGTCACAATAAGTTTTGGTATGTATTTACGCTCATTATTTCCAGTGTATTTTTGCTGGCGGTGCGGTCACGTGGGAGACGAGAGAGGCGATGGCCGGTTGGCTACTGTTGGGTGCAGCCATGATACCTATCATCGTCGTTATGCTGGTATACGCCATGTTCAAGTGCAGAGTCCGAGTAAGTACAACTTTGCTGCATTCAGACACGTTGAACTCTTAAATAGTTATTTGTGTGCGGAAACTACAACAGTAGATAAGTATGTGTATAGTGTATACAATTGAATTTGAAACGATAATAACTTTTTATTCTGCTTCCAGAATATCGTTCGAGACGAAAAGTAATCGTTTAACATAAAAGTGCATCGTTTGTATTTAACAGTTATTGCATTATTTGAATGATAAAATGAAAGATTTAGATCAGAATGACATCTTATTTTATTCACAAAATTTTTCATAACACCAATTTGTTACCAAAATAAAGGATTATTTTATAATTAGTCATACACACATATCCACATAACAACTTAGAAAGCTGATCATAATAAATAATGTACGATGTTTAAACATTGGCATTTTTTTTGTCTTTTTTAAAGTGAACATTATCTATTATGACCAACAGGAGTATTTTTTACACAATAATTAATTCAGTTGGATAATGAAATGTTAAATCAGCTTCGCTTGATTGGGAAAAAACACTCCTTCTAATTAATACAGCCTTGGATCTTACCTCTAAAATTAAACGTAACTTAAATAATGAACTTCTCATATAAAAATAATAATGATAAGCATCACTACATACATCTTTTTTAAACTTTACATCTAAGTAGATAGACCGCCAAAGTGTTCATTGTAAAGTATATTCGTTTAAAAATAAGACTACTGCCTTGTGTTCAAAGAAATATTATTTACAGCATCGGTAACGAGGTTATTAATATTCGATAAATATTTTATGAATTGCACCAAACGATACATCTGATGGGGACTAGATTGAAAACAAAATAACACTTGTTCACAATATATACGATGGCATAATATTTGGCTTTCATACAATTTAGAATCACAAGATAGACATGGACATCAAATACTCGAATTTACCCATCACTTTTTTTTTAATGCGAGGCAGGCCGCTCTAGCACAAACAGAACACGTAAAGCTTATTATTGAGATTATTTAAGTTTGAAAAACAGGAACAACTGGTGTGTGACGTCAAAATGCATGCACGGAGAAGTAAATACTTATAATCTATGCAATTGTTAAGAAACGGCCTGCCAGTCTGGTTACACCAACGCTATCTATTATAAGTATAACCCTAATCTATTTTACAATAATAATTTGATATTTAGATGATTCACGACGGCATACATGTGACACAGGGTATATCTTAGTAAATTCTAGGCCTTGTTATTTGCAAATAGGAAAGTATTCGCGCTCTCAATGAAACAGTTTTGTGATTACTATAGACATTTATTCATTTATCACTTGTTTTGCTTGAAAAATAATTCGTAATAATATTAGTTTGTTCTATACAATAATACAGTCATACATACATATGGTTGAGAACGCGAAATACTATCAATACAATAAGGTGACAATTCCCAAATATTTGTGCTACAGGAACAGAGAGCAAGCGGATCATAATACATCGATACTGTAATACTATGTGTAATGAGACGCTAAACTATTCCACGCCGAGAATAAGCTCTGTATTTATTTTTTATTCAAGCACTTTACTGAGGAAACTGTACACAGATTCTTACAATTTATAAGAAAATATTAATTTTATCATTACCACAAATATCTAGATCAAATTATCTAGCAATCGTCATATATCGTACATATCAATCCAGTTCACTAATATTTATAGTTGCTATTTAATTTTATAATAATATTTTTCAAGTTTCATTTCAAAACGAAAAAAATACATAAGCTGCTCTCTGCTGTAAATTAAACTAGTCATAAAGTAATTCGAATTCCCTCACAACTATTTTGATCTGATATTTATTTATGAACTAGTATTATCAGGAACATCTACTAATTGATTAAACTTGGAACTAATATACACAATGCAATAATTTTACATCTATCTTCTATACTGATTAGTATACCGTAGTAATGATGTACATAGTTTGCGATTTAGGTGATTGATATAAAGATTCACATAAACAAGTAAATCATGTCGGCTACTGGCGTTTGGCACACTACCCACCAACTAGTCACAGCCAACTACGTGCTCGTAACTAGACAACGGCTCGCTGCTAGCTACACATACACTACGTACGTCATGATCGTGCCTCGCTATTCATATAGTGTACTAACATGTTCATTGTTTATGCAATAAACTCTTTATTGGTAGTCATGTGCTCAATCAAGATACGACATTATGAGTTTTTACTCCAATTAGATTTAAGTTAGTTATATATTTCAATAAATACGCAACACAGACACTTAACTAAAAAGGCAGCGTTTTGTTACTATAAAATCTTACTAGCTACGTGTGCTTGTGTTCACATTAAAATAAAATAATAAAACATAAATAACAGACATTCGGGGACCCTGCGCTCAGTCTTACGCATAAAGATTCCACCACATACTCCACAGGACATCGCTAGTACGTACCGTTTTACGTTAAGGCCTATCTATCATATGTTCACATTATTATAATATGTTCACTTGAAAAACCACTCAGTATGTTACAAGTATCAACCCGCTAGGAGCTAAATTGATGTAATAAACGAACTCTTTACAAAGACGCGATCAACGTCAACTTTCGAGTGCTACATGTTCTGTGTCAACATTTATTTTGCACCTCACTGAACAAAACCTACGGAACTGAAGCATACAAACACAATAACAAGCAGTAAAATCAGCAATACTTCACACTTGATAAATAAATATCGCTAAAACGAGAGGAACAGATTTATAAAAACTAATTAGTCAGTAAATTAAATTGTGCAAGTAAAAAAAATGCTGTGGGTTTCGTAGACCAACGGGCCCACGCGGCTCGTCTAGGTGGTCATTTCATAATTATATTAGAAAATAGATGAATAAATTCGTATTATTCTTATGGAACATTTCATGTTATAGTTTATGTACAATTGCAAGCAGCTGCATCAATATCATTTTAAAATTCGTGACGTTTTTCTAATAAGTAATGACTGAGAGGTCGGCTGTGCAAACAGCTCAATGAACATGTTAACAAATGTTGTCAGGGTTAACTGCCAGACTTCAATATCTATTAGTGAAATTCTGATTAAACGAAAATCATTTGTCACACAACTGTACTAAGAAGTCATTGCTTACTTCCAGTTATTTTTGTTATAATAAATTATGTCATATTATTTTATTTAACTATATCTCAATCACTCATAATGTTACATTGTTACTATGAGTAATTTGAATTTATTGATAGTTATTAATGTCAAAGTTCCATGTTATGAATGAAACTTGTAGGAACGAATGTATTTAATATTAGGAACATACTTGTGGCAGTTGGTATAAATTAATTACAGTTGTTCAGTGAGTTGCTTGGTTTCCACGACCGGCCTGCACATAATGCTATCCGTGCGACGTTACACCGGCGCTAGCTATCACGTGAGCTATTATTATCCTTCTCAGTAACCTCTAACTACGCTAATACCTACCCACAATCCAAAATAAAAGAATTAACAACAACCAAGTTATACATATAAAAAGCTTAGCAAGTTAGTATATAACTCTGTTTTAGAAACTATCATACAAAACTAAACCTATTTCGTTCTATTCATAGTAATAGTTAAATTGACTAATTATAAGATTAAATACTCCTTCATTACAATTTGGACAAAACAGAAGTGCATTATAAGATATCATTTTAACGCCTATATAGTGTTGGCTTCTTTATTATGATTTTCATAACACTAAAGTAGAAAAGCTAGAATAGCAGCAATTTCAAATAATATCCATACTTTTTGGTCAATTTCGTAATATTAGCTTTCAAATACCTAATAAGGCATGATGTATTGCCTCCATCACTTTAAGGAAATTTACATTCGAACTCGTAATTCCCAAACAACAACAATATGAGTGAGATCAAAATGGTTCATTATTAATTTACAATAATAAACGGATAGCGTAGCTATTTATAAAATTGTAATATCAAACTAGCTAGTCAACTCTAAGCAGTTCCATTCATATACAATAATCAATTCAGATATATAACACTAATGGACACAAACGAAAACATAGCACTTGCGCTACCTCACACACTGTCTGCTCATATACTACATGTTGTGTTCATTAAACAAATAATACAATAATCAGCTAGTTTGATGGCAAAACTAGAGTGGCACTGTCGACGCAGGGGGTAATACTATTAGCCTGGCGTGTGCAGCGACCACCAATACATGTTATATTTCAAAAATTTCAAGATTAAACATAGACCTCAATGAAATTGAATAATATTAAAAACAGACATTCCCCACAACATACCAACGGCGAGATAATAATATATTCTATTTATAATTAACACTTATATTGTTATAACAATATCTATACAATAGTTACAACTAAACAATCTGCTGAAATCGTCCTCAAGCACTCCGTTATCACAAGAATCATAGGGCACATATCACTCACTGCCGTAGTCAGTCCGTCAAAGCACCGATACCATTAACATTGCCAGCGTTAATACTCCACGACCCCTTACTTTATTGCTTACTGCTACAACTAACTTACACAATTCAAGTTACATATTGTTTCTACATGTACATTTTCGCCAGTCGCAATATACCACTGTATACCAACAGAAATATCAACGTATTTATGTCAGGCATACTGATATACTTGTGACTAATATCACATTTTTAAATGGCTTTGTACTATCTAACTGCTGATTAAATCAATTTAGTGTCTATCATCCCCATTTTCAATAGAAATAATATGTATCATGAATTTTAGTTATCCTACAATGTTTTTTTTACATTTTTTATAATTTGTAAACACCACAATTCCATATTGTCGAAGAGAAAAATTACAAATACATAGACACTACGAAGAGGAGGCAATCTCGTATCGCACAAAGTGTCGGTCGGAATTCAGAAATACTTCTGCAGACGTGCCGGCCACTAAGTCAACGCCTCCTCTCATCGGACGCACGAAATACTATTTACACGAATCATGCTCATATTCTATTTTAAATTATTTTACAATCGTTCAATTGCAGGAGGCTCGACTAATATTACGACGTCGCCACCGGGTCAGAGTCGTCGACGAAACCACGATTTTGTACTTTTAACGACAAAAATGATTAGTCAGATCTAGTCAAACGCCGGGAACGCGGCAGGCGGCCAGCATCCACCGGGAGAAGTGCACGGGGCACAGGTACACGTGCAGCGCCGCGCCCCCCGCGCCCCCGCCCGCGCCCGCGCCCCCGGCCGGCAGCAGGCCGGCCAGCGCCCGCAGGTGGCGCGCCCCCGCGCGGCGCACCAGCACGCGGCGCAGCGGGGGCGCGGCCGCGACGCAGGCGCCCCCGGCCGCCGCGGCGCGCGCGCACGGCACGGCGCTGACCAGGAAGTGCAGGCTCAGCGCGCGCCCCGCCGCGCCCCGCTCTCACTGCGGCGCGCCCCCGGCCGCGCCCCCGGCGGCGCGCGCCGGCAGCGTGTCGTGGCGCCGGTACATGAGCAGGTAGGGCATGCGCGGCGGCTTGGGCTTCAGCACGGCCGCGTCGCTCACCTGCGTCACGGTCGAGTCGTCGTACCTGTCACATACAGCGCTCGTTATTGTACGGCACCCTGCATCGTGCACCCTGCATCGCGGGTACTTACGAAGTACTCAGTACTAAATATCCACACTTGCCGTAATCTTGTTACGATTGGAGACGAAAAATAATGACATCATTGTGCATCTTAAATGGAAATTATTAAATGAAAATGTTCTCAGATAAAATATGAAGTTACCTGATCCATCCCACTTGTCCGTGGAACGTGTCAGTGAGGTAATGTCCTTTCACCGCCTCGACACCCTCGTGGTACACGACAGCAAACAACTTGTAGATTCTTTGTTTCGATGTATACTTCAACTTAGAAGACATTATTTCTGTAACAATAACAATGACATTAACTCGTCGAGTACCGGTTTTATAGACACAATTAAAGAACAATAGGTCGCGGTCACCGGTGACCGCTTGGTGTTTGACAGTTTAATTACATGAAAGTAAAATAGAAATTGCGTATAATGAATTCTATTAGTATATTCAGTTAATTCTTACCACATATTTATGACACTTGTGTCATATTCAGAGACGAAAAATAAGTACATCATTATAACAAAAATAGTGAACTACATAACAGGTAATAACAGAGCAATACATACTTGGATCAATTTTCAAATCAATAGGGAAGTCAATGTTCTTGACAATCTTGGCTGTGTGGCCATCTGCATCCAGTTGGAAACATTTGAGGTGCAAGAGAAGGACCACGGGGAGCTGTTCCAGAGACAGTTGTTGCCAGGCATCACTCACGCCCTCCAGAGTGTCCTTGCCAGCTAACAGTTCCAGGGCATCTTTCACGCTGTTTGCACGCTAAACACAAAAACAAAAATATGTTAAATAAAATAAACAAATGAAAACATTTCTTGATTATATTTCATTGTTACTCAGTCTTTGTTGTCCACATAATTATGATTTCAATCATATTCGGAGACGAAAAATAAAATTCCATCATTGTTAGAAAACAAATAAGGATTTTTTCGTATAAAGAAAAAATGGGACGGTGGCAGACCTCGATGTCGAGTTGGAGTGTGAAGAATGGCTGCACGGCGTCCGTGACGTCATGGTGCGCGGCGCGGTGCAGACGCAGGCGCGTGCGGCCGCGGAAGATGTCGGCCACCGGCGTGCGGCGCGCCGCCCAGCGCCGCTCCACGGCGCCGCGGTTGCGTGGCCCCATCACCTTCCACTCGTCATCGTCCGCCGCCTCGCCGCCCGCCGCGCCCGCCGCGCCCGCGGGGCTCGGCGCCGCCGCGCCGGGGGCGCGCGGCTCTTCTGGCTCTACGAGCTTTATCAGCTGCAAACGCATACAATTTTATGGTATTTTTATTTATGTAATTTTTTTTGGGTCTGATAGCATAAAAGTAAAATAATTGAAGCACAAACATTTTGAAATTGACAAATGTTTATAATTTCTTTGCTTTATGTTACTTTCAAATGTAATTTTGTGTAAAGACTGACTACACCGTTTATATGTATATCACTAGATACGTACCTCAAGCATCTCATCGTTGAGAGAATTTAGCAAGCAACCCAGGAACTCCTCTGCATCTTCTTGCCTGCCCTCCTGTGAGCCGGGGAAGGGGCGCAGCGCCCGCAGCACCCGCTGGCCGGCGCCGCCTTCCAGCGGAGGCCCGGCCGGCACGGCGGGGGCGGAGCCCGAGCCCGCACCCCGACCGCCGCGTGTGCTGCCCGGCGCTAGCGGACTGAACTCGTAGCACAACTCCACTCTACAACAACAGATTAAGGTTCAGTGTCAGCTAAAAATACATTGACAATCAAATAATAGTAAGTAAATAATAAAATGATGATACTGACAAGGAGTCAATGACAGGTGTGCTGGACTTTCCGCGGCGAGTCTGGTAGGGCAATGCCTTCAGCATGTTGTAGAACGGCGGGCAGGCGATCAGTGCTTGCAGGATCGCATTCACATAGCAGTAGTTGGAACGGTTGGTGAGACCTCGAGGCAGTAAGGCCACTGGCCGATTGTCCAGTTGGTATTTAGACAGGAATTCTAGAAAAAACATACGTTTTTAAAAAATATTAATTATGAATGGTTACTTTAAAAGCAACAAAAAATTACTCCAAAATCCTTTTGTTTGATTACTACTTAATTCATAAAGATATAGTGTGTAAAATCCTCGGAGTGTTTGCGTAATCAGTTGACAAAATGCTAGAATTTAAAATTTTCGCTATTTCATAATCATGTACCAAAATGAACTCATAGCTAGTTTCTTTTTGCATTTTGTTAAGTAAACTAGTAAACTACTAATAAAAAGTAAATAGAGGAGAGTCCCATAATAGACCAGCTGTGGAATATTACGACATATTGATGTTAAATGGTTAGATGCAGTGTAATTAACTTACCTCCCATCCTGTAAGAGTTGGGGTCGTCACTGAAGGGTGAAGGTTGTTGTGGTTGAGTGGGGCTCGGCTCCTTAGCTGGGGGTGCCTCGCGGGGCTCGCGCGCCTCGCGGGCCTCACGAGGTTCGCGCTGCTCGCGGGGCTCCGGGGCCGCGGCCGCACGCGCCGCGCCTGCTGTCGCGTTCACTGACGTCTTCTCGGAGTACGACACTGCGGGCGCGGCAGGACGTGGTGTCGGGGAGCTCTTGTCAGTAGCTGTTGCCTGCAATGGCGAAGCGTCGAAGGGCGGCACCTTCGCTACTGGCTTTTGAACATTCGTAGCAATGGGAGGTGTTGCCGTCGTAGGGCTGGGCGGATCCTCGGGTGCCGGCAGGACGGCAGGGGCGGGTGGTGGTGCGCCGCTTGGTTTGTTGGAGAACAAGCTCGCCCAAGACTTGCCGGGCGCGGGCTGCGGCGCTGGAGGCAGCGCGGGAGGCGGCGCCGGCTGGTTGCGCGGGGTGGGCGGAGGGGGGAAGTCTGAAGCAGTGGGGGCTGGAGGCGGGGGCTGCGGCGCCGGAGGAGGCTCGGGTGCCGCACCACCTTTGCGCGAGTGACCGAACGGTGCTTTATTGCTAACAATGAGAGGCGGCCCGGCGGAATGCAACGTGATAGAGATCGGCATTGGGGCTTTGCTGGGCGGCAGTGGAGGTTCACGTTTGGCGTGGTCGCTCGTGGGCGCATTCCGATCAGAACTTTCATTGTTGTCGTTAGACGGAGAGCGATTAGCAGGTCCATCACGCTTTTGTCGGCTACCGAAAGGAGCTTTCGGAGTGGAAGCGGCTTGTTGCACCGGTACCACTGTTTGCGGCACCACAGGTTTCGCAGGCTGTTTGCCACCCGAAAACGGAGCTGCGGGGCCTTTACTTGGCTTCGGTACTGCGGGTGGAATCTTATTTGTAGGCATTTGATTCGAGGGTGGTGCTGATGGAGGGAAAGATTTGTTTGCTGGTGATTGAGCTGCAATCGGTTGTTCAGGTTTTGACTCCGCAGCATTCCACGACGACTTCGTGGTTTCAGTCTTCGGCGCTGTTGTAACTTTTTCGACTGGTGACAGCTTTGCTTGACCCGGTTCGTTGACACGATCCGACTGTTTAGGACTACCGGGACCTTTGCTGATTTTAAGGTCCTTTAGAGGTAAGGATTCTACTGAAGCAGCTGTTGCTGATGCTGTAGGTGGTGCAGGCATGGGTTTCTGTTCCTGACTCTTATCTTGTGTATAATTTTTGTTTTGATTTTGGCCTTGCACGAAGTTTTTAGCGTGTACGTTAAACTGATGTGGCGTGGTCTGTGGAGGCGGTTGTTGTTGCTGCTGCATTGGTACTGGAGGCGGGTGGGGCGGCGGAGGAAGGTACATCGGTGGTATATACTCCACGCCACCCTCTACTGGTGGACCGTATGGCGGCGCAGCGTAGTGGGCGCTCGCGTAGTAAGCGTCTACGGCCTCCTGCTCCATCACAACCTCCTGGGGGTATTCCTCGGGACCCTTGTCAGCTTCACCCTCTACGGGCATGGGGTACTCAGGGTAATAGGGCGGGTACGCATAGGGTCCGTAGACGAGAGGCTGGTACACGGGTAGGTGGTAGAGCGGCGCGCCCTGCGCCTGTGCGGCGGGGTAGTACTGCGGGTACTGCAGGTAGTAGGGCGGCGGCTGCGGCGGCGGAGACGGCGGGCGCTTGCCACGGCGGTCGCGGCGCGGGGCGCGGGCTGCGCGCTCCGGCGCGGGCGGGTACTGCGGCTGCGGCTGGTAGTACTGGCCCATGTAGCCGTGCACGTTGACGTTAGCCGTGACCTGGCTGACGTACACGTTGGGCGGCGCCACGGGCCACTGGTGGTGGTGCGGCGGCGGGTAGGCGGGCGGCGGCTGCGCGTACGGCGGCGGCGCGTGCTGCGGCGGGGCGCGCGCCGGCGAGTGGGGCGCCATGTCGCACTCGCCGCCCGACAGACTGTCCACGCTGCTCGACACGGTCGGGGCGCCCGCCGTGCTCGACGAACAGGAAGACGGATCTGCTGCCATCAAAGTACTCTTTATTTTACTAACTAAATAAACCGCGTCGACCGGTCTTACCGACGGACGACCAGTGGAGATGAACACTTTCGTGTGATACTTACCTATAGTAGGTTTGTTCCAACCACCGGCGAGAGCAGTGGCCGAGATGTCGGGTATCCGGTCGTACAGGGCACACTGCAGTCGGTTCAATTCCGCGTCCTTCACATCAGATAAGTCTAGGAACTCATAGTCCTGAAACACGCCATATATATTAATACAGAACTTTGTATCATTCTTGTGACACGTTTGTCCAATTTCATGGGCTTAAACGTTTTCATTATACAGATTTAGATACAAAACTAAAAACTACAAATTAAAAGACAGTTCACTTTCCATGTTAAACAATAGGCCTTGTCGAAGAACTTGTATGTTGTCGCCATGTCACCATGTTATGTTATAAACAATATATGACTGTTACTTCTATGAACAAATTGTTGTCCAGATCCCAAGAAGTCTGAAATTACTGGTTTATTCATTAGTGCCTTAAATAGGATGAACTTGAAAGTTAACAATACAATGTTTTCAATGTTGATGATGTTAATTGTTATGTGACATCAAACAACAACAATGTATTTTACTATAAAAGTATATAAATAAAAAAGTGACTTTGATTTCCTCGAAAATAAGTATTTTAGTTTCCCTCTGATACACAAATATTATTTACCAGTACAGTTTTCTAAATCCAATGCTGTTACAAACACAAACATGTACTATTATGGAAGTATATGTAAGTATTTGACCACTATCTAATGGCAAGGGATTAATCTTATAATGTAATCTTAAAGGGTAGTATCTAGTTACTTATCCTTTTGAGATTCAAGTTTATTTTATATTATCCACCCATATGGGATAGAATTGTTAAAAATAACTAGTAAAGTAGAACAGAGAACAGAGTAAGAACTAAGATGATTTCTTAGAAAAAAGGATATCGAACTGTGGTAGGGTACCACAGTTCGCAAATTATATTAGATCAACTTGACAATGTGTACATTTTAAATTCCTTTTAAAATTAATGTGTTTGTTGGGACTTGTTAAAATTAGTTAAAACCATAAACTTAATAAAATGATTTTATTAACTAAGTAAGAGTTTCACTTATCCCTAACTACTTTTTTAAAATCTGTTTGTTTTTTCTATGTTCCTATTGATTTATATTATGGCAATAATTTATTCCACCCTAACAATTTGTAAGAATGTTCACTTTAAGAGTTACAGATTGCTTCAACTCAATTTGATCTTACATCTGAGCTCTGCCCATTATCCACTTAATCGACATTAACAATAGTGACTGTCGGACTAAGTGATACCCGGCCACAGTAACGTAATATTTCAGCAATTGCACTGATCTGATCAACAGTTTGTGTGCATTATATTGGTTCAATAAACCTCTGTGCAGACTTGCTTTATTATTATTAAATTAATGTAATTATAAAACTAACCATTGAAATATTGTTAAACATGTTACACATTACACAAATTAATCTTATGAAATACAGTAGAGACTCAATGAACAAGACTAAGTATTGTTGTAAAGATGTAAAGGCCTTTAAACAGTGAAACTATATGAACAAAGAAACCAGACAAAAATCCCACAAGAAACTAAGTAATGATACCTGGGTTTACAAACTCCAATAAGATATCTTACTACTGTTCTACCTATACTAGCAGAACAAAAAGTATAAATTACCAACTAAAATCAAGGTTTAGTAAGAGAAGTCACACAGTTACTTATGAATATGATTACATTTCTCTTTGCAGTTGGCAAACCAGATAAAAAATCTACTGTATGCACATCCTAAGTTCCCAATTTGATTAGGTAATTTATTCATAGAAAGGATTGATTAAGCTTCCTTCATAAAGGTATCTTTTTTCCATAGGAGATAAGGTCTATAATGGAGTTAGTTCAGAGCGGTCACTGGTGACCACTTGGGGATTGAACAGATATTATACCTTACATTGATACAAGACAAATTATGGGTTAGCAGCCATTGAGAATAGTATTGGTCCCATTACCACAAAACATTGAAGAAGTTCTTGTCACTTTATGATTCTTTTCACTAAACTATTAACCACCATAAAGAATTGAAAAATATTACAAGTCCTTGGAGGCAATTGCATAATATTTTAATAACATACTTTAATATGTGCATGAATAATGAATGTGAAGAGTGCATAGCTATACCTACTACTGAAACAATCTTCATGCTTGAACTAAAATTACCTAAGTCAAAACTAATTACCTCTAATTAACAATCCAGTCATAAATTCATTACTCCCAAGAAAACATGCAATACTAATTAATTTAGAAATTAATTTTAATGGTGACACTTATTGCACAATATCTTTGTACATTTCTTACATCTATCCATCTCAGTTGCTTCAAAGAGCATGACATAGCAAAAATGTAGGTAGCATTTAACTAGTCATGTGGTTTTCAATTTTACCTTTTCTTTAAGTTTTCAAAGTCAAACTGTTTCAATTATATCAATACTTTAAAAGCAAAACAAACAAAAATGATATAAAAAATGTATATCAGGTTGTCCTCTAGTGAAGCTATTTACTTGTTCTAATACTTCTGAATTATAAATTCTTATGGAGAATATTATAACATTACAAATAAATTGATTTGATTTGAAAAAAAAAAACATTTTTTGGGTTAAATTATCAACCAGATTAATCATTTGAGAAAGTAATATCAATATTTCACTATAATAGGCTATGTATACTGTATTTAGTGTTTTTTTTTCAGTACTTAGCTCAATATTCACAATGTATGTCTAAAAACCCATCAAAATTCTCTAATATGGATTCCTAGTTTCTCTTACATGCATATTTAAAACTATAAAATCATTCTAATCATAGATTTGATCAAGATACTAAATAACAAGGTTTATAGTTTGCTGGTGTGAAATAATGATGACTTATAATTCTATTTTTTTGACAAACTATCAGTTTACCATTTGTATATGACTGGTCAATACATCAAGTACATGGATTTACACTGATAGAAAGAAATCATTATTGTACCAATTGTATTGAATTTTATTATTGTATCAAAACGAGCAAACATTTCAATCGACACAAACACAAGATTTGAAACAAGAAACGGAATTTGCATGAAGTTTTTTTTTAGCTCTATGTACTAAAGAACTAAACATTCTCATGCAAAACAGGAAAATAATATGTTCTATAATCTAATTATGAGAGAATGGCATTTCAACATAAAAATGTCATAATAGATTTATAGTTCAATAATGTAGTGCAACAAACAATGTGAAAACATTCATTTCATGAAACAGAATTCAATCAACTAATTTCATTGCAGAAATCTACTATTATTTCGAAATAATTCTAGGCAGTGATAACCAACCGACAATCAGTCTGAAAGTATAACTTCATTAGTGCATAAGTGCATGAAATATTAAGTGATTGATCCTTCAGAGGTTACATAACAACAAGTCCATAATAATAATAGTCTAATAGTAAATTTAACACAAAACAGTCTTATACGGACTGCACAGGCAATTACAGGTTCCTGAGACTAATTGGTTTTACTTGGCTAATTAGTAGAAGTAGCCCCAACTGTCACTGGTAGTTCACAACAAGTAAAGCATTAGACAATTTATTTTTACCTGGATTACAGAATGAAGTCAACAATCACATTCTGAAGAAACTCATTTCATCATCGTGATTTACTAGCAGATATTTTTCACGGAAAAGTAACCTTGAGTTTCGTCGCGGAGTGTACAGAAATGACAACCCGTTTGAACGTTGGACTTCACTGCAGCTTGTCAAATTTATAGGTTATAATATTACGATTGGGGACTTGCGGTCATTGGATGTACAGAAACTCATCACGTCAAATTACAAGTATATTGTGTGAACACTAAACAGTTTGTCTACCATGCAAAGAATATAATATGCAATAGCTTCCGCACCGACTAAACAATAACAAATCCATAGCACATGTGGTTTTAAAGTCATGAAATGAAATGCAAAAGTGAAAATGACATACCTATTACGGAACCAATAAATGTCGCATTGACTTCCTTTGGAATTCGTTTCGAATAAAGCATGATTTTCAGCGTTTAATTTTCTCATGTACTAACGCAAAGCTGCAAAATATGCGGAACATTTGGAGGACTATAAAATGGCGTAACAACGCTCAGTTGCCGGGTGCCATCCGAGTATTGACAAATCAACATATTGGTGATTCTTATTGCGTAAATCCGAAACTGGGCACTATTTATTGATCAAAAACTATTGGCACTTACCTCCCACGTGCATACAATGTCTGTAAAGAGATATTTTTTCTAATGTAATGGCCAGTTTCAATATCACCAAAACAAGAAACAAAAGCCAAACAAATGTTTATGTAAATGTACTGCAAATATAGCTTGCTTACCGTTTTCATCAAATCCATGGCCTTTTAAAGAACACCATCACGAAATTTAACACCGTCTATATTTTCTAAACAGCAGCAACGAAGGAAAAAATATCTTAGAACGGGATCAACGTCGAGGCCATGCACTCTCCCTACACATAACAGGATGTGACAAAACGCTCACCATAGAGTATACACTACGCGCGCCATTTTTAACCAGCCGCTGTACATCCAATGAGAATCTAATATTTCTACCATAAACAAAAAATATTTTTCGTAGTGTTGTTACACTTGTTCGGATGTGCGACATTGAAACTCATAGACAAAATAATTAATTCATGAGCCTAAATTTTTATTTTTAGTCTATTGAGGTTAAAAATATTAACCAAATAAATTAATCTAAAAATGTTTTGCATTCATATTTATAAAGAAATAATTATAAAGTACTTAAAGTAAACGGTACGATTAATGAAGCCTGATTTGAGTTCAAATATTTAGACGCATAGGTATATTGTAAATGTCAGTAATGCTTACGCATTAATTACGTTGGAAAAGTATAAACTATTTATGTTTAGCTTACACTGATATTCTTTGGGAATATAATTTTAATAAAAATGGTAATAACGTAATGAGAGAACTGTTTTTAAGCTAATTCAATTATTCTTTAAATCGACCTATAGCTCGTCATCACATTTGATTAGAGACCCGCGGCTTTGACGCACTTTGTGTTAATACGCGCTACCGACGCGGATCGTGGAGGAGTCCAACACCTCAGTCTATTCTGAATTTTGAACTAGGACTTTTTCCAAGTCCCATTTCAGGAGGCAGACCGCGGCTATTGCGGGTGATATGGGAAAATACACAGAAGAATGTGTTTCTCGCATTAAGTCGCATTCATTGATTTTCAGTTTCCATCGCTTTCTCCAGGAGAGGGGGCTCTTTGAGGATACAAAATTCTCACAGCCTTCTCCCCTTGGGATAAAAAAAAGATACAGAATATATTTTAAATTTAGGACCTGTCGGTAGCTAAGCACTTAGGTAATAGTTATGATATTTACATAAAATCCGTGGGTTAGTTCCGTGAAAATACTGAGAAAAGCTCTACTAATTTCATGTCGCGCATCTTAGCTCATGAGGAAGGACCCCTCTGTGGTTCGAAATTAGTAGAGCTTTTCTCAGTATCCATATTCACGAGATTAACCCACGATGTTTTGTTAATTTAGTATGTCTCACGATAGTTACCTATTATTAAAACAAAGTTATGATTTTAGTTCAGTAGGTAACAACATTAGAGGAAAAGTTTAAGAAATAACGTAAGGTCAGGTAGGTAGGTATACTTATTAAGCCATATCTATTTTTATTATTTTTTATTAGTTCAGTCGTGACCATTTTATTTTACATTATGTTAGTAGGGATTTCCTTGTACAATGATTTGTTTTATCGATATTAATAATACCGATATTTGACCACTCATTTTTTATGTTTGTCTTCAAATTCAATGAATTTTACCATAAACTTAGGTGTAAGTTTAAAAATAGACTGTCTTGCATGTACTAATATAATAGATATATAAAAACGACATGTTCTTATTTAAATAAGGTTAAACGGGTTATATCTGCTAGCACTATGAATAACACCTGTCTTTCCTCGAAGGTGTAGGTAGAGAGGTAGACAGACATAAAATTTGATAATCAAAATATTCATGGGCTTCTATACACATACACACACATACATACCTAAATAGGTAGGTATACATACTCTTGTGAGGTATATGTACGTATAGGTATTTACCTATATATCTATTTTAAAAAGTAATGTGGGTAGACTGGAGGCTCTTTAACTATGCTTGATTTTTCTACTTTAGATATTAAGTATTTTCTTATTTCTATCTTTTCTGACTTACCGTTGTACAATATCGATATTATCAAATAAATGACTCACAGCTCATCACTAGACGATTTACGGCAAAACCGTTGGTAAAATTATAGTACGTGATTCGAACGTCCCAGTCACCTGACTGCGACGAAATAAAATGTCTCGATTATCGACACTTATCTCTTCAAATATTGTACTATTTACGTTGGCTGGCTAATTCAAATGCTACGTGACACATTACTCTTATTATTTTCCCCTAGTTACTGTGTAGGAATGTAATTTTATGGACCGATGTCGTCATCGATTTGGTCAGAAATTGGGAACATACTGAATCACTATTTGTTAGTAGGTAGATACACCTACTTAAACTTAGATGTCTAATTTAAACAATCCTACACAAAACTTATCACGAGTCCTTAAATCACATACTTACCTTTTATTTCTTGACAGGGTGAAACCTTCACAAGGCGCCTAACTTTGTATTCCTTTTTATACTTAAATAATACCTAATGTTATAAAGAGATATTACATGGGACTTACCTATAACATAAATAGTGAAAAGTGTTTGTTACATTGTACAGTGCATCGATATAATAATAATATTTCTGTGGTAGGTACAGTGGCATTAAGCGCCGTAATTATGCACCTTTGTCTACCCCTACAGGGATAAAAGACGTGAGAGAGGTACTTATCATATCATAGTCAGTACCTAAGTAGGTACTGAAATTATTGGATTCTGTATTGCCGTCTGTAGTTCCGTACCTACTCGTGGTCGGAACAACTAGACACAAACTTATTCAGACATCGGGTTGTCTGATTTACTGTCTGTTAGTCGAACTAATGGATAATCCTTACTATATATAATATTATAAATCTGAAAATGAGTTTGTTTGTTTGTTCCGCTTTCACGCCGTAACTACTAAACCGATTGCTTTTAATTTCTGCAGATGTAAAGTTAGAAGTCCGGATTAAATAATAGGGTACTTTTTATCCCAGAAAAATTGATATTCCCGAGGGAAAACAAAAGTATTGGTATAGATGGCGCTGTGTGTATTGGTATATGTCACATAAGCTACTTTTTATCCTTTTGTGACGCGAGCGAAGCCGCGGGTAAAAGCTAGTTTTACATATTTAAAGTATGTGTCAAAAGCTAATAGGGTAGTTTCTTAAATTTCATGCCCGTCTTTTTTTTGTGACGGGAAAATCATCCAATGGCTTCTCCCGCCTTGGGTTAGGCGAGAAGGAGTGTCAGACTGACTAAAACCCACCCTGTTCCTTAATTTAAAACACGTATTCTTTCTTTTCTTCATCATCACTATACATCACTACATAGTATAAAACAAAGTCGCTATCAGCCGTATGTCTGTCCCTATGTATGCTTAGATCTTTAAAACTACGTAACGGATTTTGATGCGGTTTTTTTAAAAGATAGAGTAATTCTTAAGGAAGATTTATATGTATAATACATGCATATTGCACCCGTGCGAAGCCGGGGCGGGTCGCTAGTACAGTATAAAACAGTTTCGGACGATATACTTATGTATTGATTTGAAATGTTGTATTGTGTGACGGCACGATTTACTAGATACATTTTATAGGGAGCATTGACGTAGCTAGCTAGCTACGTCTTAAATAATTTTTTGGAGTGGGAGCTCCCACTCCAAAAAAATAATTCATTTTATGTAAGTATATTATTTTGTTGTATGGCAAAATAATATAAAAAAAATATTCTGATATAAAAAGATCTAAAAATAGTCTGATAGTTTTTCATTATTTGTTTGACTGAATATATTTTTAACTTACAGATTAGATTCTCTCAGGCGTTACTTTGCGGAAATCCATGCTTTACTAACAACAAGGAAAATATTTAGTTCCTATTTCGCTGAAGGAATGAATTTGCAGCGTGCAGTATACAGCACCGCCCTCCCGCCCGCAGATAAACGCTCATGCAGCAGAGATGCGACACAAAACACACACACACGATACACCACAAACCACTCGAACCACTTTAGACATATGTAGTTATGTAAGTAATATTTTTAAATTTCATGCCCTGTCAATTACCCTATTGCAATAGGGTAAGCAACCCTATCATTTTAAATCAGGTATAAAATATTGCGTGCTTTAGGTACGAGTAGGTACCCTAACTATACAAGGTGTAGTTTTGAAACCGTGACATTTCTAGGGGGCATGTCACAGAAGTCATAAAGGTTCAACGTAAGAGAAAGTTTCGGGCCAATAGTTAAAAACACGGCTATAATAAATCGTTTAAGTTCGATAGTATTACAGAATAAGCGACAATAATGGTTCTTATTGGAGTTTTATGGAATTAGGAATAATATCAATTACGTGTTTGAGTTTGTGTGTGTTAAGCCGCGTTATAAAACTAGTTACAAAACGGCGGTGTGTAGTTCGCACTTACGGATTTCCGTAATTTACAGAAAAATGAAAAATATGTATCTGCAATTTGTTTTATTGATTCGGACTCAGAATCGATAGCCGAGTTACCTCCTAGAAAATGACGCGGCTTTAAAACAGCACCTTGTATATAGTAGATAGGTATCTAAGTAGATACTTAGATATTAATATTATTTTATATTTTATATGACAATCTAATATTATTCTTTCTATTTTTCTTAACCTCAGGGCATTTAACAAATTAAACAAACTTAAATTAGTTTTTCATTTTAAGTAAAACATCCTAGTCGTATCCGTTCGTAGGTAGATACTTGATGTACGCTATTGAGCTGAATATTCTCTTAATTTTTAATTAAATCCAAGACTTTTGTTTTTTTTTGTTACTTTTTTAAGAACTCTAGCCACGAGGTAGCCTAGAGCTTTTTAAGCAAGTAGATATATTTATTAAGAAACTGTCAGTATAATAAACTCTTTGGTACGGATCTTAAATGCTAAGAAATAAACTAATTTTTATAAAATTGTTTACTTAATTTCTGGTTCAATGACCTTCAGATGGATTGGTAAAAAGTAGATTAACCCTTTGAGTACCGTCATTATAGACACAATTAAAGAAAAATAGGTTGCGGTCACCGGAGTCTTCGCGGTGTTTGACAGTTTAAAAAAAATCTGAAAATACCATAATAACATGTATATCATAAGCTATTTAAGTGGATACCATGAATGTCTTGTTATTTGACTGAACTCGAGCAAGTTCGAATGTCGAATGTAAGTTATATTCGATATAATTTTTTCGGTGTTCCAAAAATTCCACCACGTCTTTTAATACTCATAGTGGCAGGCAGAGGTCAACAGAACAAGTATGTAATAAATAATACGTAGGTACGTCACTTTAATTATTAGTCCCTATCAAAGAAATATTAAAAAACATATTAACTATGTCTATGGGGGATGGCAGTGATGAATGAAAGAACATGTAATTATTAACGTTTCGCACAAAAATGTGGAAAACTGTCTGTCTGGAGTCTGGACAAATATTGTTTATTAAAA